AAATAATAACACAATTAATAAGATATTTACATAAGAATAGCGAATAAATTATTTATAATTGCTAAATAAAGCGATTAAAATTTAAATTATTAATCCATAAAACTATTTGCATTAAACTGAATTCATTATATAGTTTTAATAATTATGCTAGTCTCAACAAAAACATATATTTATTTCATACTAACTGAATTGACGTACAGTAAATACTTTATACTAAAATAAAATAACCATGAGCAACTTATACCTGTTTCACTATGGCCTTTCACAACCGATGTTTACCCGCAGTTAAGTAAACATATCTTAAGGTTTGGATTTGTTTGAAACACAATATACAGCCGGCCATAGGAAATGGTAATTGTATTTTTTGATTCAAGCATATTTTTGACACTAGTTGAATTTTATTTTTAATATGATTACCATGAATGATATATTTTCTAATAAATCTAGGTATTACAAGCCAGATATTGCGTTTATTACATTACACACACTAAACATACTACGGATCATATCATGCATATCTTATAATAAGCACGTGCTATTGGTAGTGGGTGATTTTGCTGAGCTAATGGACATCAGCAAGTTACACAATACATTTATGGTATTAATAACCCTGTCGGCAACAAACACCCAGGGCATTTTTTACTACAACTACATAAATAACATTAAACCGACATTCATGAAAGTATTTGACATGATATCAGGTTTGATATCACCCAGCTCTATTGGCTTAACCAGAAGAGACCAGGTATTTACCCTGGTCAAACAAACCCGTGTTTTGTGTATTTTTAGCCAGCTTAACTGCATTTACATTATACCTATGGGCGCATTCTCGTGTACTATTGTACCCTACATAATGTACACATCGGTTCCAAGCATATTGCTATACGGCTTACCCAATGGACTATTATTCTGGTTTTGGTGTAGAATTTTCTGGGCTTACATTCTATACCCGTTGAGCTATTTTCATATACTATGTCTGTATATAAGGTTACGGTTGAGGGCAACGCACCGACAGCTCATTGTGATGCGAGGCCTTAAGCGGCTCAGGCGGAGACCTCTAAATCCATATAATATAGTGAACATCATGATTAATTACAACATAATATATAAACAGATCGCTGAATACAACGCCACCTATTGGTCAAAGATATTGCTATGTTTTTGGGTCTCATTTGGTTCGGCAAACATCCTGATACTATTCAACGCCGCTTTCTACGAGATGCATATTCTAGTTAAGGTGGTTTACGTGTATGTGTCCGCTATAATGACCGTCATATTTATGTTTATCATATTGACGGCGTCGGCGGTCAATTCAGAAGCAAATATATCGTATAAGTTATTAAACTCCTTAATTGCTATTAATGCTAAAACACCAAATGTTGAATTGACCAATAAAATCAAGGTATAATGATTGCGGACAAAATTCAGTCTTCTAATCTGAGTTAATTTTTTATTAAAAATATTAATTTGTTATTTTTAAAAATTTGGCATTAATTATTACAATAAATTTTAATTGATACAATTAAATTATCAATACTCTTAATTAGATCATGGTGATGGTTGAGCGTATGGCCGAAAAGCGTGTGGGCTTTACGTGTTGGAAGTTATTTACTATCAATTATTTTCGTTGTTACGAGGTCAGTTTGGTTGAAATTAAATGTTGATTATTAAGTAATTCTCTCTCTCTCTCTCTCTCTCTCTCTCTCTCTCTCTCTCTCTCTTGTTTATATACAACAGATTCTCTCGTTATTGTGTTTATTTTTTCTTAAAATTGTCGAGATAAATTGGAAAAAATTATTGAATCATGAACATTCATATAAACATATATAGATTTTATTTAAAGTTAAATTAAAATAAAACATACTAGTATGTAGTAATGTCTGTACATTAATTGTATATTTCTAGCTTATAAGTTGTAATATAAAAATAAAATTTATTAATTATCAACTGCATCATTAAGTTGAATTTATTAGGAAATACTATTTAATTAATGGTATATCATACGACAATCCATGTAATTGTAATTACTTTTGGTCAATAAAACTATTCTATTAAAGTATAAAATATATTTACACACTAATGTAACATGATAAATATAAAAGTATAATAATAATTATATATTGTGGCCAGACATCAATTTAGTTATATAATATTATCGTATTTTATAGTAAAATAAACAAAACACTTTAAAACAAATATGGCGTATAATTTTGATTCTGATAAATTACTGCCGGCGAGTGTTGGCTACAAATGGGCGTCAATTCATTTGTATAGAATTGGTTTGGATTTGTTTGAAACACATTATAATTGCGGTCACAGAAAGTGGATTAACAAACCTATTATAGCGTTCACAACACTTAGCCTATTATTCACAATAAAAGTAGCATGTTTATTGTCCACCAGCAGTACAATGTCAATCATGCTTGGTGATTTTGCCTATTTTCTGGGTATTAGTACACTTAACAATACATTTTTATTGTTAACACTCATATCGGCTATTAATACACAATTGATTTTCTTTTATAACTACATGAATGAGATTAAACCCACATTTCTGGCTGTATTTCACATGATGTCCGGTTTGGTTACTCCCAGAGCTGTTGGCATAACAGATGAACACCAAGTGTTAAAACTCATTAAACACACTAGATTATTATGGACAATAATAACATTAAACATCACGTATATTCTACCTTTTATCGGATTTTTAATCACAATTGTTACTTTTGCAATGTTTACCACAATTAAAAATACAATATTATTTGTTATACCACATAAACTATTATTTGCTCTAGTTTGTTATTTTATGTCAAGTTATATTTGGACCCCATTGTGCTATTTTTATATCATTTGTATTAATTTGCAATTTAAATTAAAAACAATACAACACCGGCTATTAGATTGTGGTAAAAATAATAAACAATTGCAAATTATAATGTTTGATTTAGACAAGTTATACACCGAGATTGATGATTACAATAAGACATAGTTTAGTAAATCAATTACAATAAGATATTCAGTTCAACTGGGAATGAAGTTGTAAATGAAGATTTGATACGAACATAACCAGTAAAAATGTCTCTATAAATTCACATTCTATAATTTCACATACCAAAAAGTAAGGTCCCATTAATGTGAAATTAAACAGGTTTGAGTGTATTATATAATTGTTTATAAATTACCTAAGCCGTATTTCTATCTAAATAATTAGAACCCAGTTATAACACATGTAAAATTTTACTATTTAACCTAAACATTTTAATGTTTATATTGTTTGAATTAATTTTAGTTGTTATTACGGTAACATGATTGCCTTAGAGGCCACCAGTATACTAACCACGTCATAATAAAATTACATTTTAAAAAAATTTATGGCGATCAAGGTTATTATTTAACCGTTCAAAAAAACTTGCTCACGCGGTTTTTTAAAATACTCCCAAACGAAATGAGCTAGATCAAATCTGTAAACTGTAAAATGATGATCCACATATCTAATATTTTTTGACAAAAAATTATTGAAATCACGTGATTAGAACATTAAAATTTTTGGGTCATTTCGAAATGGTATAATTTTAGCCCAGTTTAAAGGGGGCTCGGAGGGAGGCGGGTATGCTATATGGAAGATGAGATGTGAAAGTACATTATAGTAAAATTTGATTAAGATTAGTTCAGCCGTCTACGAGATATTGTCAATTTTATTAACATTATGTCTATGGGAAAAAATGGTTCTGAAGTCGACTGAGTATACCACGTGACCAAAATAAAATTTTAAAATATACAAAAAATTTCCCCGATAATTCTTTATTAGATGCACTTTACAGAATCTAATTATCTCTAACAGATCAAAAGATATGAGAAAACTACGAGATGCCGAATCACTTGACCGCCTCTTTATATAATTTTATTTGTAATTATAAATGTATTGACTTAAGTGATAAATGCCAGTATTCGCTGTAGCTGAAAATTAATTGCATTTTAATTGTACGCGATAGATGTATTATTATGCCGTATATATTGTGTATTAAATTTAGACCCAGTTTTATTGATCACTGTTTGTATTATAGATTAATTAAATTATATGTAATATACGGTATATTTGTTTAAGCTTTACAACCATAATGTTAATCAATATATTGTATTAACTACACGATTACGACATATAAAGTTTTATATACATGTACATAAAGTACTATATATTTAATCAATAGACAAAAAATTATAGTTTTGTTTGTCGGCAACAAAACATATACAGAATATTCTGGAGTTTATCGATAAGTTTATAACGAGTTTTTTTCGTATTATATTTTTTTGTAATAATAAAAAACAGAAACCATTCAAAAACTTAATCCAAACCCAGTATTGATGCTAAAAATAGCTGTCATCTCTCTCTCTCTCTCTCTCTCTCTCTCTCTCTCTTTATATACTGTATACTTAATAAACAAATCATTTGTAAAATAAATGCATTTTTTAATAACGAAACAAAATATTACAGAATATTTTCGTGAATTAATGTCTCAAACATTGCAATAAAAATCAATACCAAATCAAACATAATATATTGTTGTGTTTATATATTATATTAAGTGAAAAATTGCATGCAATCGAGTGAATCAAACTGACAAAAGTGAAAAACTAGAGCATTATAGCAGGTAATAGAGAGACAGAAAAAAATATTTATGATAAATAAAGCCATAAAATAAACATTTCGTGCGAAACAATGATTTGTTTGTCGAGAGAGAGAGAGAGAGAGAGAGAGAGAGAGAGAGATATAAAGCCATAAAATAAACATTTCGTGCGAAACAATGATTTGTTTATTAAGTATACAGTATATAGAGAGAGAGAGAGAGAGAGAGAGAGAGAGAGAATAAGATAGTATGAGACAGAATATTCTGGGATTCATTTAATTAAATAACATAACAGACAAAACGAGTCTTACAGACAAATACTAAACAGTGAAACATTAAAACAACAAAACCATGTAATACTAAAAACAAGTTTATTTAAGCAAAAAATATATATATCAAGCTCAACTCACCCGTATAACCCATTATATAGACCATATTCCAGAGCACCTCGCTCAATTGGGAATGAGCCAGACTCAGGGCCCATAGACGTAGATAACTGGCCGTATGCGATATGGAGCCCAAACAATACTCAATAGTATGTATGGCCTGATGTATGAATGTGTCGCCAAAATCAAACTCGCCGTCCCCTCCGTGACCCCCATGGCCTCCACCCCCTCCGGTGGCAGCACCGGGAGGTGACTTACTATTACCAGGCTCATCTATGGTGACTTTAATCTCGTTAATTTCAACGTTATTAAACTCCGACCGGTTTGTTGTCATTTCGATTGATTGGCTCGAGTCGTGAACACCGGTGTTGTATATGATTTGCGGGCCTCTGATTACATGGTAAATTAAACTCGATTAATAACATGATTATTTGTTTAGTATTACAATTTACGTTTATAATAAAATACATTGCAATTTATATTTATGCTATTTATAACTTTATAGTTATGTAACTATAATATTTAACCGTTCAAAAAAACTTGCTCACGCGGTTTTTTAAATTACTCCCAAACGAAATGAGCTAAATCAAATCTGTAAACTGTAAAATGATGATCCACATATCTAATATTTTTTGACAAAAAATTATTGAAATCACGTGATTATGGATGTTAGTTATTAAGCCCTTTTGGTTACGCCACCTGTATAATCGCGCAAGGTAATTTTAATATTATTATAATATTACATAGTATCTAACAGTTCAAAAAAACTTGCTCACGCGGTTTTTTAAATTACTCCCAAACGAAATGAGCTAAATCAAATCTGTAAACTGTAAAATGATGATCCACATATCTAATATTTTTTGACAAAAAATTATTGAAATCACGTGATTAGAACATTAAAATTTTTGGGTCATTTCGAAATGGCATAATTTTAGCCCAGTTGAAAGGGGGGTCGGAGGGAGGCGGGTATGCTATTCGGAAGAGGAGATGTCAAAGTATATTATTAAAAACTTGCTCACGCGGTTTTTTAAAATACTCCCAAACGAAATGAGCTAGATCAAATCTGTAAACTGTAAAATGATGATCCACATATCTAATATTTTTTGACAAAAAATTATTGAAATCACGTGATCAGAACATTAAAATTTTTGGGTCATTTCGAAATAGTATAATTTTAGCCCAGTTGAAAGGGGGCTCGGAGGGAGGCGGGTATTCTATATGGAAGATGAGATGTGAAAGTACATTATAGTAAAATTTGATTAAGATTAGTTCAGCCGTCTACGAGATATTGTCAATTTTATTAACATTATGTCTATGGGAAAAAATGGTTCTGAAGTCGACATTTTATAACAACGAAAATGTAGTATAAAAAGGTCAAAATTGGGCTATTTTTGTCCAAATATTGGGTCAAATTTCTTGAATATATTGTTCGCTACGAAAGAATATTTATTCGAAGTTTATGAAACTTTGCTATAATATACTTTGACATCTCCTCTTCCGAATAGCATACCCGCCTCCCTCCGACCCCCCTTTCAACTGGGCTAAAATTATGCCATTTCGAAATGACCCAAAAATTTTAATGTTCTAATCACGTGATTTTATAATATACATTGACATCTCCTCTTCCGAATAGCATACCCGCCTCCCTCCGACCCCCCTTTCAACTGGACTAAAATTATGCCACTTCGAAATGACCCAAAAATTTTAATGTTCTAATCACGTGATTTTAATAATTTTTTGTCAAAAAATATTAGATATGTGGATCATCATTTTACAGTTTACAGATTTGATTTAGCTCATTTCGTTTGGGAGTAATTTAAAAAACCGCGTGAGCAAGTTTTTTTGAACGGTTAGATAACATTGAGTTACTCATATAAGCAGGTACAGTTTCTCAATTAAGTAAACAACAAATTTTGGGTATCTGGCAATATTATTTTAAAGAAAGCACTGCAATTAAGTGGTTGGTTCTCGAGATATACACACGAATAAAAGTGCATTATTTAATTAATTAAGTGTATCTACAGTATATATCTAAAAACTAAATCTAAAACTAAGTACCATATGTGCGAATACATGTACATTGTTTTGTTGTAACAGAGGGTGAGTGGAAACACCAGCGCTTTTAACGGTTACTCCACGTAATAAAACTTGCATTTTCCCCACAACCGCTTCGCTTGAACCGACACATCGAAGTAATTCAATATCTGTTATGGAATTTTAATTATAAAATACAGTTTTATGAAATTTTGCGTCAAAAAATTATGTTTCTATTGATAGATACAGTTGTCAACAATGAAACAGATAAGACATTTAAATTATTCAATACATTAACTGCTTATGATTCTAAATTCTTATCAATTCTATGACTGATATTTTAAATATTAATGATAAGTATTTATAAATATATTATATTAAAATAGGTTTGAATGGTCACTAAATCAGTGAAAGAAAGGCACAGTCGAGTCGTTATTTGCAAATAAAATTTATTTTATTGATTGATCATTAAAATTTAAAGTCTTTAATAAATATAAAACTTTAACTTTAATATACATAATAGTAAAATTATTAAATAAATATCAAACGTATAATTTGTAAATAATTCGTTTTAAAAAATAAACATACTGAACATGGGTGTTTGCATGATAACGTTGACAATTATTGTTTTGGTTGGCATGTACCACGATGACCACCTCCGTATTTTCCTTGTGGTTTATAATTTTTACATATTCCGTTTTCACCACAGATCTTGTTGTCATTACACGATATTGGTTTAGCTTGGTGGATCACGCTTCCCACGTCATGGCCATTTGCATGACCGTTGATGGCTGTGTTCCGTGGTTGGCATGTACCACGATGACCACCTCCGTATTTTCCTTGTGGTTTATACCCTTTACATATTCCGCTTTCTCCGCAGATTTTGTTGTCAGTACATGATGTACGCTTAATCCGGTGAATCACGCTTCCCACGTCATGACCAGTGGCAGGATTGATGATTGTAGTGTTTAGCAGTAGTACAATACACAACAACAAAATGATAGACTTGTTCATTTTGATCCGATTTAAGTTGTGGTTTAATTTTGTTAGTTTGATATATTTTTCACATATGGTCTGTTAAATTTAATTATATGAATTATATAATTAAACATTTATTTCATTAAATAAGGATCACACAGCGATGTTATGCGTTAACCACAATTTGGGAATTACTTAATGGATATATAGTATTTAATCGATTTAGATATTACGTTTAAGAATTGTACTTTCTAAATGTAATTTTTAAAACATTGTTCAATGAATATCAATTTTAATTTTAATTTCACTTTATTGTTTGAATTTTTAAAATGTTCAAGTTGTTATAATTTACATAACAGTTGATTTTATAAATTAACTTTTGTGTTTTATACAATGACCTTAAATATCAGGGGAAACGAAAAGTTTTGCAATAATTTGACATGAAATTAAAACTTAATTTATTTTTAACACAATAAACTTTAATCATCGGTCTAAACTCTATAATGATGATCAATTATTTGTCTTCTTGTGATAAATTTTTTAATTGTTTCTATATAGGGATAGCTTGATTTTAGGGCAAAAAATAGGAACACCCATTATTTGACAGGGTCCTTATTATTTAATGCCATTCCTCTCACAGACAGTGGAAGTGATCGGAACCGACAAGAATCTGGAGAGTATATGTATGGGTTTGATTTCAATAATTTTTTGTCAAAAAATATTAGATATGTGGATCATCATTTTACAGTTTACAGATTTGATCTAGCTCATTTCGTTTGGGAGTATTTTAAAAAACCGCGTGAGCAAGTTTTTTTGAACTGTTAGATACTATGTAATATTATAATAATATTAAAATTACCTTGCGCGATTATACAGGTGGCGTAACCAAAAGGGCTTAATAACTAACATCCATTTTTAAAAAACCGCGTGAGCAAGTTTTTTTGAACTGTTAGATACTATGTAATATTATAATAATATTAAAATTACCTTGCGCGATTATACAGGTGGCGTAACCAAAAGGGCTTAATAACTAACATCCATGGTATGCATATGACCACCACTACGATCAATATAGTTTGAACAAGTGTCTGGCCTTCATATAGTGGCACGCTCAAATAACAAGGATCAGTGTCGGTGCCACTCTTGAACAAAAACATATTGATCAAGGTGATCAGTATGGATGGGGCGCAACCGGAGTTGGTAGAATCGTACAGGAACCATTTCCAGAATATCATAAAGTCCATGTAACCAAATATGCCAGCTAGGAAAATCACCTGGGGTATAAACTCGAGAAATATGTTCGAGTAGCGCTTGAAGTGTCTATTAAAATAAATTATAAACATGTTCATAAATTACTTGGGAAGTTAGATAATTATTAATGATAATATATTTGCTTATGTATAATATAATAAGTAGTGAAATAACTTACATGTGGTTAATTATGCTGAGCATAACGCCAAACATCATTTGAATAACACCCAGAATGACCGATGTCTTCATTTTGTACGTGTTTAGGAACAGTATCTTATTGGTGGACACTTGCCATATCTAAATAACCATGGCACAATTACAAAAAAAACATTATTTAATTTACTGTTTATAAATAACAATTGAATATTGTTTCATATTATTATAAATTCTGTCATCTCTCTCTCTCTCTCTCTCTCTCTCTCTCTCTCTCATATTCAAAGGTAACCTTAAGTACTTTTACTCCAATTTATTGTTCTTGATAATTTGGGAAATTAACAAATATAAGTGCAAAAATAACTTTTATTTATTAAATTAAGAGGCCAAATTAGGAGGACACCATTAAATAAAGTAAACTTAATGCTTTTTACCTTATAATATAGCTTTTATATACAAGATTACAGTCTGCATGCTATACAATAATTATAATTAACAGTACAAATAATAATTATTTAACCATTATATACTATGGAAGTTAATAAAAATTATTTACCCGAAAGTTAAATTCATAACAAATCACTCTAAAATCGGATCTTCATCATTATTTAAAAATATATTTAATACCTGGATAACTAAATTATGCAAAAGTAAAAAGTTTGTAGACTTATCTTGGTACATTTGTGACCCACAATAATATAAACATCTATTTTTTAACAAAATTTTTACCAATATTATGCGGTTAATTCAAACTTGAACGACAGTTATATATGTGTATTAAAAGAATGATTTATGTTATAATGTCAGATATTCGCTAAACATCTTCAATTGAAACTTGGTAGGGCCATTAAACATATTAAAATAAACTCACCGGGTCAATACCAAACGGATAGGGCAAACTGTCCTCGTAGGTCTCATTCTGGGGGTCAAGGGTCATCTGCGGGTAAAACACGGTACTATTCTCGGGCAGGTCAGGCGCTTTCCATTGTGACCCGAATATATTCATTGACTTGGAAAATACATCGTTGTAAATAAAGCCGGAGTAAATCGAAAATAGGCCCATCATCAAAATAATGTATCTGCCACCAAAAAACATGTCCCATATTTCACCCCAGTCCTTTCGCTGCAGACCACGTTCTTTCAATACCATCCATAGGCCGAAAAGTGCCATGATCAATCCGTGACCCGCGTCACCGAACATGACAGAGAATATGAATGGAAAGGTGACGCACGTGAATGGCATTGGGTTAACCTCGCCGTAGTTGCCCACCCCGTAGGCGTCCACAATGGCCTGGAACCCGGTGGTAAACTAGCGTGGTGATATTAAATAATAATAATACTTGAGAATTACCTTATGGTTGAAGTTTATTTATAAACTTGGCAAAATGTAAATTAGAATTCAAGTTAATATGACAATTTATTTTTATACATTTTATACATATTGACAATATGATATTGTATTCTTTTTTATTTATATTTCTCTGTTGTCTATAAGAGTATCGTAACAATAAAATATTTAGCTTAGTAATGGTAAACTAAATTTAAGTCACCACCATGATAAATAAATAAATATTCTTGTGTCAGGTTGATTTTTGTTATTTATTCTATTTTGGGAAAACTGTAAGTTTGTACTACAGTAGTAAAGTGTGCTTATAGAAAATAATAAGTTTATTTATATTGGTCATCTCAACGCCTAATCACTTTTTGAATTGTAATTTAACTACAGTAGTTTAATTTTCAAACAAATGTTTAATAATCTAACGTTGCATTATGATAAATTAACAATAATTATTTTAAAGTGATTCATTTTTTACAAATATATGTAATAATATGTAGCATATTACAAATGTAAAATAAATAATAGCCCATTTTAATACATGAATCATGTGACATGATACATAAAATGTATGACAATTTAATGTTTTTTAACAATAAGGTATTTAATAAAAATTGGATTAGAACAAACACATAACAAAAAAAAACAACTACAAAAAAACTAACCTTGTTAGTAATATTAAGCGTGGGCGGGGTCTCCATAGTCTCGATACGGGTCAGCACCGACGGTATGGCCGTTTGGGACTCGCGCTGCGCCTCCAGCATAGCCTCCTGAATATGGGGTATATAAATGACCGGGCACCAACACTCGGCCACCAGGCACTTGCTAGTGACATCAATGCTGAACATGTTCATTGTCTCGTACACCGACTTCATTTTGCGCACCTGTACCCGCCATTCAAGTAGGTTTTTGGCCACAGCGACCAAGATTCTGGTGCGATGGTCCTCAGTGCCTTTCATTACGATTTCCAGCTCATCTAGCCGATTGGTCACACCACGTAACATTTCGGCCCTTTCCCCGGGCATTTCTGGGCACGGGTAGAGTGTTGTGTGAAAGCTGTATACGACCCCGGGATAATATGGTATTAGTTATATTGTGTAATGCTAGTTTAGTATTTTATACATTGTGCATAAAAAGTTTTATAATTTAAAATTTAAGCATTTATTTATTTAATTATGTTTCTAAAATATGTAAAAATTATTCAAATATTATCAATAAATATATCGCTTGCACTTCACCCATCCAATAATTAGGATAAACTCAATTCTTATATATAACTAGCTTTGAATA